TACTACACACAACACACAACTATATATATATATATATATATATATATATATATATATATATATATATATATATATATATATATATATATATATATATATATATATATATATATATATGTTTGTGTAAGTATCTATATCACGACGCACAAGAGCAAAGATTGGTGGTTGTGCGTCTTCAAACAGCTATGGAGGGATAATACATCAATTTAGCACCGAATGAAAAAAATTCACACACTAACCAACCGGGGTCGAGTAAAACTTTTACAACAATGAATTACTTTATGTCGTATGTTTTACGATATACCCATGTTATATCTGCAGAGTGACTTTGTTCCATAGGAAGTTCTGCATATAAATATCTGCATATGGATCTCTACGTGCTGATGTGCCGGCGGAATTAGTTTGAGTATTTGTATTTTTTCTTTTTGATTTTGACCTGACACTATTATCTTTTGTCGTCGTTGGCGCCCACACTATACAGCTTCGCCATTTATCATGGACAGTACCAGGTGACATACTATATAGCACAGCTACCTCGGCATGAAAGGTCCGGTTACTAACATCAAACACTGGGGTTTGCTAAACCCGAGGTCCAGTAAAAACTCCCATAGCACCTCAAACACGCGTCGCTAAATAGAAAACATACAGGTGAACATTTGTACTGTGATATACATCGAGCAGTCAATATACATACCCCTCATGCTCTATCTGCACACAATCCCGCCTTGGTTCACATGTAGGCCCATACCTTTGCCGGTGTGCCGTGTTGGGTGCCAGGATGTACCCTGCTACTGTCAAATCATTGGCTATTGTCTGTGACTGTCCTAACATGTGCTATATATACACTGTAGCTAGCATTACATGGGCGTTACGATTACCAATGCCTCTCGCTGTATATGGACGTATACGTGATGACTGACAGGCACCAAGTAGTTATCCAAACCTTCGAACATCGAACAAAAACCAACAGTCAAATCGCACATAACTCTATACATCTATAATACAAATCTCCCATAGTCACACGATAAAAACCCTCTTTAGTAAGAAGATACACGCCCTCTGAAGTCTGATAATAAGAAACTTACCTTGTCTTTGTACAGTGTAGGATGACGGACAATGTACCGTAGCTGCCATTCCACGAGTGATACGGTTTCCAACGCTTTATCTGAAGTGCTCTTAACCTCCGCGGGGGCGATTGGCAGTACACAGTACGGGTAGCTATAATTGGGCCCAATATTAGCCAATCAGAATCAAGATAAGCACAATACGGATGTGATGTCACGGCCCTCTGAATAAGGGTCTTGAGCGGAATTCAAGTCTCTCTATAAGGCATATTTAGCAGAGACTCTTAGAGACTCTTTCCAGAGGACTGTGGGAATATGTAGTGACCGCGAATGGAGACGGCCTATCTTGGGCATAAGGGAGGCTTTTGGACAGTGTGTCACTCTGGCACACCCTCGAAAAGCCAGATGACGAACGGTAATTACCTCGATAAGGCGTGTGACAATGGGTGTTGTACTAGGGTTTATGAATCGCAGATGTGCCTCGTATTGCAGTGGAGTGGCACAATTTCAGGACCGAACCAGCTACTGATTACTAGTTACAGTGTATCTAGACAATGTGATCCGAACCTTGATTCACCAGTGATGTGAATTCATCGCACACAAACGTTCAACATATGAATTCTCGGGAGAATGGCCTGCGTGTGACTTAGACCATGTACACCACACCACCTTCGAATGTGGGCTGAGAAGGTACTACGGAGTCTACAACGAGGGAAATCAAGTCCGAGATATGTTCTGACTATGGCCTGTAATAGGCTCATCAGAACAAAAAATGAGAGCAATCGATTTATAGATCGGCATACCTCCCGAGTATATAGGCGTGGAGGTTCAGGAATTGTCCCATAGTCCGCTGGGACGTGCCGCGCTTTGAAAACGGGACATCAAACTCCACAGGAGCGGGCGTCTCATCAGCGTGTGCTTCAATATTCATGTAGAGCAACTCAGACAATTCTGGGGGGAGATCTGATGCTGGCTGCATATATGTCACGCGTACAAACAAATGATCGACGGGCAGCATGGGCTCCACCATGGTGTAGTGGGCGTAGGGATCTGTGATACTGTATAGATGACTAAAAGAGAGGGATAATTTAATCGGTGTGACCACGACTGTAGGTAAGTGTGTGTAGATAAAATTAGACATCGCCGTTCAATATGCAGTCATGAAATACAAATAAACATCCTCACGTGGTCGCGAGTCCACATACACACAAGTATGTCCAGAACATCACATGTCCAAAACATTTGTCATAGATGACATACTTTTTGACAGATATCCATCCTTACAAACTCATTCGACAAAGAAAAAATTCTTGTACATTTATGTACCTATCTTTATATATATATATATATATATATCAATATATCAATATATCAATTTATATATATTTACATATATATAATA